AAATGAAACACATAAAGTTCGATATCCTAGGCATTAGTGAGCTAAAATGGACTGGTTTGGGCCATTGTAAATCAGACAACCATATGGTCTACTATGCTGGGAATGACAAATTGAAGAGGAGTGGCACGGCATTCGTTGTCACAAAGAATGTTTCAAGATCTATCCTGAAGCACAATGCTGTCAATGATAGGATAATATCCATACGCCTACAAGGAAGACCAGTTAATATTACTATTCAAATTTACCACTAAAGCCAAAGATTAAGAAATTGAAGATTTGTACCAACTTCTGCAGTCTGAAATTGACCAAACATGCAATCAAGTTGTATTAATTATTACTGGTGATTGGAATGCAAAAGTTGGAAACCAAGAAGAATCACTGGTAGTTGAAAAATATTGCCTTGGTGATAGAAATGATGCTGGAGATCGCATGATAGAATTTTGCAAGACCAACAACTTATTCATTGCAAATGCCTTTTTTCAACAACATAAATGGTGGCTATACACGTGGACTTCGTCAGATGGAGTACACAAGTGTCAGACCGACTACATCTGTGGAAAAAGGCAATAGAGAAGCTCAGTATCTTCAGCCAAAACTAGGTCAGGAGCTAACTGTGGAACAGACCATCACCTACTTTTATGCAAGTTCAAGTTGAAGCTGAAGACAATTAAAATAAGTCCCTGAGAGCCAAAATATGACCTTGATTATATCCCTCCCAAATTTAGAGATCATCTGAAGAATAGATTTGATGCATTGAACACCAATGACCAAAAACCAGAAGAACTGTGGGATGACATTGAGAACATCATCCATAAGGAAAGCAAAAGTCATTAAAAAGACAGGAAAGGAAGAAAAGACAAAAATGGATGTCAGAAGAGACTCTGAAACTTGCCCATGAATGGAGTAGCTAAAGCAAATGGAAGAAACAACAAAAGAGCTAACAACAAGATTTCAAAGAGCAGCTCGAGAAGACAAAGTCAATGATTATAATTAAAGGTGCAAAGACCTGGTTAGAAAACCAAAAGAGAAGAACACACTCATCATTTCTCAAGCTGACAGAACTGAAGAAAAAATTCAAGCTTTGAGTTGCAATATTGAAAGATTCTCTGGGCAATACTGAATGATGCAAGAAACTGAAAAGAAGATGGAAGGAATACACAGTCACTGTACCAAAAACAATTGGTGAATGTTCATCCATTTCAGGAGGTGGCGTATGATTAAGAACCAATAATAATGAAGGAAGAAGTCAAAGCTGCACTGAAGGGAATGGCAAAAAACAAAACTCCAAGAATTGATGGAATATCCATTGAGATGTTTCAAAAATGGATGCCCCACTGGAGGCACTCACTTGGTTATGCGAAGAAATTCGGAAGACAGCTACCTGGCCAACTGACTGGAAGAGATCCATATTTGTACCCATTCCAAAGAAAGGTGATCCCACAGAATGTGGAAATTATTGAACAGTATCATTGATATCGCATGCAAGTAAAATCTT